AAGTACACGTCAAACATCTTTTATTTTAAACGTTTATATGATTAGGTGAGATTTTATATGATTTTAAGTCAAAGAAGCTGACTTAATTCCATCCCTCCTTACAATCGATACGGCCAGGTGGTAGAAAAAAGAAAAAACTTTTAAATCTTATCTGCTTATCAGCTGTTCTACAAATTGAGTTTCTTGGTTTTTTGTAGAGTGGGGCAAAGTTGTGAATTGGTGCATGCTCCTACAACAGTGACAATGTCTTGTCTGTCAGGGAATGAGAAGCTACTGGTGCTGTTGAGTCCCATATTGATCGCAGTTCCCTGACCCAGTTTCTCGTACGCCTGTGTATTTTTGTATCTGCTTTTTGAACCAGACAGATTAGACGTCATAGCATCCACCTTTCATCTCAAAAGCTGGAAAAAAACTGCTCAGGAATGGCTCGAGAAACAACACAAAAATTCTAACTCCTCAAATCTCAATCCGATTGAACATCCTGCAGATAAACAGCAAGCAGCCAGATCTATGGTGGGCCAACATCGCGCCCCATTGTGGAAGGGGGATCAACACAATATAACATAGGTGTTTTAAACATTGTGGCTGATTTGCCATTTGCGCCAAGTGTCTGTGCAACCAGACATGAACTACACTAAGGCATTAGCGCACGTACAGCCTCGCACACATGTGCCGTTTCCTGCTCATAAGGGCCTTTTAATATCAGACAAGACTGGGCTGGTTCTGTGGGAAGCTCTGCGGGAGCTGTCTGGACATTCTGATTGAAGGAAAATCTCATTACAGATTAGCTGTAGGCAAAAATATGATTAACGGCAAGGCGGGACAATGGATAATCCTCATTCACATTAAGTTCATTCGTATGCGTACAGATAATGTCCCAGCAGGAACATGGAAAGTGTTCTAATAAGAATAGTGTACCCAACCAATCGCACTTCAACAAATTGAGAAGAGGGAGCTGGTACATGTAAGGGACCGAGCAGCAGAACCAAGCATGACGCAAGGTCGATTTTGTTCTCTCACTTGGGTTCGTATATATTTCGTTTTTAAGTAGAGCACCTAAAAATAGGAATATTTTAAAGGTTCTTTTTTTTAATATTCTATATTGATAAAGTCATAAAGTGAAATATTTCTGTTTTTATGTTTTCAGTTGGATGATTGTTGGCTGATAGTATTTAGTGTGCAGTATTTTAAATGATTAGAATATTTTATTTTGAGTTTGAGTAAATTACCACTCAAACAATACAAATACTGTGTATGTGTTGGTCTAGTTCAGAACAGGTAAATACGATCAAGGCCAAAACTGACAGACTTGACAGTCCAGATAACAAACATTGCCAAGGTCTACTGGGGAAAAGGCCAGCTGTTCACAAAGTGCTGTATGAAAGCATGTTAATGCTAAGATGACAGGTAGGGGAAAGTGTTTCTGGAAAAGGTGCACAAGCAACGGGGATGACCACTGCCTTGACATGATTGTTAAGAGAAGTCTATTTGAGCAACCTGGGAAAATTCAGAAGGATTGGACTGAGGCTGGTGACGGTGCAATAAGAGCCACCGTCACACAAATCTTCAGGAACAGGATAAAACTGTTGCATTCTTAATATCAAGCTACTTCTGATCCAGAGATGTCAGAAGCATTCTTATCTGGGCTAAGGAGAAAAAGAACAGGACAGTCCTGTGATCCACATATGAAAGCAATTTTTTTCATTTTATTTGGAAATAAACATCTTAGCGTCTGGAGGAATAATGGAGACAGAATCCAAGGTCTTTTATGTCCAGTGTGAAGTTTCTGCAGTCTGTGATGATTTGGAGTGCCGTGTCATCTGCACGCAGCTATCTATCAGAAGATTTTAGAGCACTTCCTTCCATCTGCTAACAAGCTTCGTGGAAATGCCAATTTCCTTTTCCAGCAGGATTCTGCCCACAGTGCCAAAACTCCTATATAATGATTTGCTGAATGCGTTATTATGATGGTTGATGGGGCAGCTGACTCACCTGACCTGAAACCCACAGAGAATCTCTGGTTTGTTTCAAGAGGAAGATGAGAAGCCGACCCAAAAATACAAACGAGCTGCTGTCATCAAAGCAACCTGAGCTTCAGTAACACCTCAGCAGGACCGCAAACTAATCGCTTCCATGCTACACTGTACTGATGCAGTAATTTGTGGTAAAGCAACCCCAGCCAGGTACTGAGTGTATAAATGAACACACTTTTTAGAAGCTGGAGATTTCTGTATTGTAAATGCTTTTTTAAATCATGGAAATATTACAATCATGTTTAGATGTGTGATTAATACAAAAGTTGAGTTACATTATGAAAAACTAAGTCAGAATATTCTAATTTTTTGGAGATTCACTGGTACCGTATGCATTTGTGTGGATTTGGGATGACCTACACAGGAACTAGGACTCAAGCTTACCTTTTGAATGTTTTATACATGTTTGAGAATAACAGAAATACACATCTCGAGATTAAATCATTATCTTCTTTGCTGTAATATTTGGAAGACAAGAAAATACTGACAGGGGTCACCATGGAAACAGCACAGAAACACTTCAGCTCTATTTTTCATCACATCACTGTTAAATGCCTCATGGGAGCACATTTGAGTTATACTTTTAAAGATATATTTGCTAGTCATTGGCGTTTTCATTTGAAAGCACTAGCCTCAAACAGCGCAAACTAGGAAGCTTATTCAAATAAAAAAGATCTGGGCTTGCTGGATCCCTCACACACTTGTCTGTCAGTCAGTGGCTTTTTTTTTTACTGGTGTGCAATCCATTTGGACAGAGGTTTACAGGGAATGCTAACTGGGGTTATTGGGGTTCCTCCAATCTCTGGGCAAGATACAACTCCACAAAAAAAAGGAGAAAAAGTGCCCTGGTGTGTCCAACGGTGTGTGTATTTGGGATTGGAAAAATGTGGTATGAACAGAATAAAACTGTAGTATACTGTGTATGCTATTTGAGTGAATGGGTGAATTTAGAATTCAGTGTAATGTCCTTCGCATGCACAGGAAGATTAGAAAAATAACCTTTTTTCACGGTCGTAAATGTAACACACAGAACACAGAAGTGGCTGAAGAATAACCCCTGCCTTTAATTTTTATTTAATCTTCAGAAAACAAAAAACAAGCTAAAATTGAGTTATTTTATTATTATCTGGTTTGAAATAACTTTAAAAAAAAACATAAATTAATTGTGTATTAGAGCAGCGGCCCCCAACCTTTTTTGCGCCACGGACCGGTTTGTGCCCGACAATATTTTCATGGACCGGCCTTTAAGGTGTCGCGGATAAATACAACAAAATGAAACTAGTACCTGTACCGAAAAAAAGAAGATTTATTCATAACACACGTGAAAAGACCCAGGAAAACCGAGTCAACAAAAAAAAACGATAACAAAATAACGCTAAAAACCCTGAAAACCATACATTTCACACCCGAGTCTCACTCTCGCGGCCCGGTACCAAATGACTCACGGACCGGTACTGGTCCGTGGCCCGGGAGTTGGGGACCGCTGTATTAGAGCTCTTACAAGTCTTAAGGGCAGGCTTTGTAGCAAGCAAAGAAGAGCAGCGCATGTCTCCTCAGGGTGTAAAGTGTTTGTGCTATATGAAACACAAACTCTTAAAAGTTGGGGAAAATCTGACTACTTCAAAATCCTCTTTCAAAAAAAAAAAAACTTACAGTAAGAGAAAATCTAAATAAACTCTTTTTCCACCTAAGCTCATGCAGATGGTTTGAACGGAGCAACGATTTAGATTTTTATCCGTGAAACACAAAGTGCCTCTCGAGACTGGGAAGGCAGTGAGACCTGTCTGTCAGCCGGTGGCAGGATGAATGATCCTTAGCCATAATGCTGCTCCTCTGCCATTACCTAGATGATATTTCTCCACTGCTAAATGTCACATCAATATTCTCTAGCAGCCAATTAATCTCAGCTCCCATGGAACCTGGTGACATCTCGCATCCTGTTGGAATACAGATGGCACCATCGCTGGACCTTTGCTCTTAACACATATTTGCTGAGAGCACTCATATGGTGCAGTTCAAATATTGTGCAACCTCGTGCATCTTTCCCTTCTTAAATCTTTCAGAGGGTTTCGCAGAGAAAACTTTATTAGCAGAGGCAGTGGCAGCAGCACAGCTTGACTTTTATTCAATTGCGGGCAGAGGGTACTTCAAGGATAGATGGGAAAGGAAAACGATTTTTCACAGGATGTTCTACAGGAGGATTTAAGTCTACTGTATTTTGAGGCGTGTGTTGGGGAGGTGAGTGATAGCCTCGGTGTTAGGATGGTGACATGAGGGGAGCGGGTGATTACTAAAGACGAACAAGGTCAAATCGCTCATTGTCCCTGCTGTTGCTGTATCACTGAACTCTGGCAGAATTAAAGGCTTATGTTGAGGTGTGGTCAGAGCTGGATGCTCTTAGTCACATCTCAGCAACGATTTTAGATGGCATCATTTCAGAGTAATAGCTTTGACCCTTTAAAGTTTCAACAGTAACTATGATTCCACAAGAATTGCAGTTAATCATAGTTATACTTGCCTGATCTGTCATAGTGTGCATAGCCATATATGAGAGAAATAAAATCCATTAGAAGCCATTTAGAGATATGAGTCACCGTCACCTGAATATCCTATCAGATAATAAAGTCACTATGTAGTCTAATGATTAAGGTTTGGCTTCCCTGCGCAAACTGTACTATGGATGAACTTCCCTAGAGGTATATATTATACTAAGTGTTTTACTATTTAGGTCATGACATTAAGAGGTTGAATTTAGGCCCCAGAAGATTCAGGCTCTTCCTACAGTAACAGCTTGTTGCTAAGCAATGCCATTTAAAAACAGGAGAGTACTGAAAAATGGGTTGTACTAAATGGCTTTCCTTTGAATCGTAAACTATAAAGAATATAGGGACCCTGCTGATTTTAACTGGAGTGACCCTCTGTGTGTTTCAGATAATATTCAGAAGTGTAACACAGTTTGTTGCTTACCTGTCCTACATAGACCAGCAGTCTGGCATTAAGAGGAGTCTCATCAGGGCTCAGCCAGAACTCAGAGTTATCGTCTGATGATACTGAGAACTGGAAATCACCTGGAAGGGAGAAAATATGATCAAAGTGTGTGTCAGTGGAAGTAGATATGTATGATCTAAGAGAGTATAATCACGAAGAGCAGAATTTCATAAGAAATGTGAAAAAGAAAACGCACCAAAATTGTGGTGCCCTGCCGAGAGCAGTAGTCATGGATGACATGCATGGTTACGGTGATATGAAGATTTTCCTCACATGAATTTCTAATCTGTATGTAACAACTATATGAATGGAAATAAACACTTGAGCACAGACGCAAAACAGTGAGAACATGGGGTGCAGTAAGTGGAGCTCACAAACATTGTCATTCAGTTTATAAGTAATCTCAGGATAGTGACAAATTGTATTTATTTGTCATCTTTCCTCATAAATGTTTACACGTTCATGGGTAATCAGTGATCTGAGAGACAGTGATCTTAGTTTTCAAATGTGGAGTCATCCTAAGAGCAGAATAAAATCGCTATCCACACCGTCAGATTATCTTTCATTTCTTCTTGTGGATTGGCATGCAAATTCATATATACTATTGTATATAAAAAAGCGTAACACAGGTGGACATACCTGTGAATACAGATTTCTTTTTTTTTTTGTTCTTTTCCACCTTCATTTGATAGACACAGTGAAAGCAGGGGCAGAAAGAGAAGGGGAAGACAAAGGGCCGCGGGTCAGTCTCAAACCCGGGCTGGCCGCTCTCAGCCATATGGCATGTGGTCGACTGCTCAACGCACCCCAGTGAATACAGATTTCTAATAATGTTGCTGCACTGACTATTATTTATCGAACTAAAATAAGCTAAAATGCAGCATTGCTATTAGAAAAAACAAGGTATAATCTTACTATTTCCACAGTGATTAAGAGCGGGATAGCTGCCATGTGCTGCTAATCAAAAGCCCTTGATTAACTGATCAAGTGTGGCCATCCTTATAAAAGCAGAAGTTTTGGTTTGGTGTCTTTTTGTTTGTGTTTTTCTGGTCTGGAGCGCTATTGTGTGTGTTAACACACTCCAAAGACTCAATGCCACTTCGGCAATGATTTTAGAGAAGCAATTGTTAGTACCCATCAATCTGGGAAGGGTTATAAGGCCATTTCCAAACAATTTAAAGTCCATCATTCTGAAGTGAAAAACATTATTCACATGTGGACAGCGTTCAAGCCAGCTGCCAATCTTCCCAAGAGTGGACACCTCAGAAAATTCACCCTAAGGTCAAATCATATAATAGTCATAGAAATTGCAAAATTGCACCTGAACAAACCACAAAGCTTCTGAAGTCCTTGGACAGACAAGACCAGAGTGAAATTGTTTGGCCATAATGCGCAGCACTACATTTGGTGACAACCAAAGCGTACAGCATATCAGCATGAACATAGCATACTAAGTGGGGAGCAGAGGAATGGCGAGGGTACAGCTAAAGTTTGGCTGACATTGGGACATTGGCACAGCAGCAAATCTAAAACTGAATGGCAGAAAAGAAAAGGATCAAGGTGTTGCACTGACTCAGTCAAAGTTCAGACCTCAACCTGACTCAAATGCTGTGGCAGGATCTTAAGAGAGCTGTGCATAAATCAGTGCCTGGAAACCCAAATAAACACTGTAAATAAGAGTGGGCCTAAATTCCTCCACACCAATGTGAGCATCTGATAAATAATTACTTCATGTCGTTGCTGTTAAAGGTGGTTCTGGAAGCTGTTCAGTTACACTCTGCCTAGCCTTTGACACAGTGTAATATGCCGTGTGTTACAGCTTATCCGAGGTTGTATTCAAATACTTTTAGAAACTGTCAAGCAGACTCTTCGTTTCATTATTCATTTCATAAAACGACAGAATTAAAAACAAAGAGCACGCTTTCTTTTTCACATTTGGGAAATCAAGTCTGCCGTGTAAAATGATGAATGATGAACACTCGTGAACACAGAATGAAATGTAACTTTAATTCAACTTTAATTTATATATTTTATCTTATTCTTTCCCAGTTAAATTTACCCTTCATTCTAATTTGTGTTGTACAGTTATTTCATTTTTAACCTTCATTTATATTTTATTCCTTCCTAGTTAAATTGACCCTTTTTAATTTTTCATATTTATTTCCTATCTTATTCATAGCCTTTTCCTTTTTTGTTTTCTTTAGGTCACGAGCAGTTGTCCAAGCATTTCACTACATATCGTACTGTGTATGACTGTGTACGTGACAAATAAAATTTGAATTTGTAATAGTGCTAATGTATCGACTCTTTTCTCCTCTTGAGCACAGACTCTTTCGCTACTGCCGCTGCTGGATTCTTGAAGATAATTGTAGAACGGCACCCGTTAACTTTTCGATCTCCAGTGGATTAAAAACCCAGGCTTTGCTCTTTATTTAGTTATTTAGTTATTGTCACGGCGAATTGTGATATTGGTGCTCGACTGATACTGCCCTTTTTTATTCACCACATATGCACTAACCTCAGAGTTGACTTAACTGTGTGATCAGCTGTTTCTGAATAGAGCTTCCCATTTTGGGGTTGCTGCAAACCCAGGTCAGTACGGTGAGACATTCTAATATTTTTCAGGTGGTAGTGTTCACTATAATAAAACTAATTTGTTACTACACTATTGCAATATTTAGGAATTCTCAAACTACATGTTAAATTGCCACATTATTCATATTTTAAATTTGGTTGCAAAACATAATTGAGAAACGACGTGCAGGCTGTCACCGAGAAGATAATATGACCTTTAAGCCATCAGCAACAGAGAGTGATACCCCAAGTGAAAGCTACATGAGGGGCTGAAATGAATGGTAATCTAATTAATAACTTCATATTCTGCAATTTGTGTAAGGGCACTTGGGCATTAGAGCTTTCAGTTCCCATAGCAACTGGGCTTGAGGGTAAGGCCATGAGGGAACTGCAATGAGATTTAGCTGTGAGACTTCTGGCATTCAGCCCTAATAAAAATGTGAATATCCACTACATTAGTGGCTCCGAAGTGCTTGGATTAAGAGGGCTGTGGAAAATGTCTACTCTTTCAAATGTGCAAATGCTTCCTCAGATTGGTGACTTACTAATAGAAAAAGCTAGTTACCATCTCTGTAAGGGTGAAGGTAGCCAAATATTCTCAAGCCATAGTTCTTCCACTTTGGAGCCACTGCCAGTTTCTTCACTGTTGTCCTGGCCTGTAGTAAGAAAGAGGGGAAAAATATTGCAACTTTAATAGCAGCAAGTTAAACACTATCTCATGTTAAGTCACAGTGAAACATTCAGTTCAAAAACACACAATGAAGCATAAAGCAAACCTCTGACCCACTTGTTCAAGTCTGCCACTTGATATAAGGACAATGAAGACTAACAGACGAGATAGTGTAATAAAAGAGCCTGCTTTAATTAAACATAAAGCTAGCATGCTCACATATCATAGTGAGCATGCTAGCTTTTTACCTGGAAATTGTTGCTATACAGTATCAGTCCCATCATACAATTTATGCATGTGGCCATTGTTTTTGCCATTTTTGATCTTTTTGAGACATCTGAAACTGCTGTAAGTTTTGCCAGTGATGCTGTTAAACTAAATAGGTTAGTAATTAATTATTTAGAATGATATTATCAGATTAATGTTGCTGAGCCTTTGCAGACGGCTCAGAAGGATGTAAAACACAGTGATTTCAGCTACCAGTGAGGCGCGCTCCACTGCTAAAAGCTACTGATTTTATGACAATGATGATTCACTGTTTCACAGGTTGATTTGCACATGCACCAAACACCTCAGCTAGGAGCAGCTGATGAAATGTGCTTGTGGCAGTTGTCAATTTCAGTCAGCAAATCAATAGGTACAAATGAAAAGCCTGCTGTCTGAGACTAAGAGCCATTTTCCAAAATAAATAAATGAATAAAAATTCTGCTGGTAAATATGACACAGACACAGCTAGCTGCATATGTGACTTGTGCGAGCAGGGAGACTGACAGGCATGCACAACCAGTCAATACTATGTGCCTTTAGTGTTAATGCATGAAAATACGCACTGCTGTACTTACATGAGGATAGAGAGGGAAGTGCAAGTTCTTTCTCAGCTGGGCTACAGAGGAGCCGCACCAGTCCTCAAACACGTGAAGGTTAGCCTGGCCCTTATACTGTCAACACACAATCACACACGCACAGAGGACACAGGTCAATGCACACACTAACAGCGGCATCATACGTGCTGTTAAACAGGAGATACGCTTCAGTGCTTCAGAGCTGCCATCCTGCCTAGAACGAGCTGGAATATGTGCAATTTCCTCCATGTTGCAGGAAAAATCAAATCTCTTTGAAACACGCGACTGCGGAGTGAGGTTAGAAATGTTGTGAATAACAGAAGAACTCAACAGGAGTATCGGGGGAGTGTGAACTGAGAATGTCTGGAGCAGTTTGTCAAAGCTCATCCCCTGCCCATAGTATGACATTTGTCTGAATTACACAGGGAAATCACAGGACACAGCAAGGACAGATGGTGAAACCAGTCTGCTTTGGGGCACAGTCTCCTCTCTCGTGCACTCTCTCTCGTTCATCACACACACACACAAGTCTGCTCGTATTGGAGTGGGGATGACTCTCCATGGACTTGTGTGTCAAACTTACAGTGCTATGGAAATTATGTGCTTTGGGTCACGCAATGTTTGAAAAGAGAGAAAAACTCTACAGAGTGAAACAATGAAGAGTGTAATTCTTAATATCTTCACTACACACTCTGATGCGCTGTTGCACATTAGCACATAACCTCAACTCAGTTTAACGTCAAGCTCTAGGAGCACAGTGGAAAAAAATGTTTATACTTGATGGTCTCGAACTGTACCAATATACTATACCACATACTGTACACACATATGGTATCCTTTCAACGTGTGACAGCAGTCTCAGCAGGTTGCCACTGTAATGCTGCCACAGATATTTACAACATCACAGAGTACTTGAGCAGCAAGCTGACTCTCTCCAATTGACTATGAAAAACGGCACAGCGAGGTTCCCCCGGTTGGATCAAAGGGAAAGATGCTTCAATACTTTGGCCCCATTTCATTCGTTAAAGGTAACCTTTTTGTGCGTAGAGTAGATGCTGGCTGTGTAGTCAACAAGAAGTGAGCTGTCAAATCAAGAAACTAGAGGAATGGCAGTGACCTCATGTAAATAAAACACAATCCTCTCATTAGAGAGATTAGAGGAATGGGATATGGAAGGTGAGCAAATGTCTCTCTGACTGCTACTCTAAAGGACAAACATGTTGATGGAGGGTGTTGTGCTCCTTCAGTATGACACAGGTATTCGAACAGATGGCATGACCTGCGTGGTCCCCGTTTCTCTCCACACTCTGCATGGTCAACTAAACGTCCAGGACAATGACAGCAACATGGCAATTACAGTCCATGAATAAACCATGGGATGACTTTGTTTTGAAAACATGTCATTCCCAAACAGTGGGACGCCTGATTTAAGCTCACATATTTTTATTTATTTATTTTTTGGTAAATGTTCCTTTTGAAATTAAAGCAGAAAGAGACCGTTGAAAGGCTGACAGATTTAAATCTGAAAAAAGAAATGAATGAAGAAAATGGATGAGACTGTCTGATGTTTAAAAAAAAGGGGGGGGGGGGGAGTGACAGATAGAGATGGGGAGGCACAGTGAGGTTAGAAGGATTTAGCAGATGGGGACTAGTCCCTGTGTAAATATGCCTTATATAAAGCTTTTAATAGATTTCCTGTGGGTTTTAAAAGACCTTTTTCGGCCTGACCTGCTCCCCCCCCCTCTCTCTCCTTGTCAAATAGCAATAAGCGGACAGCTTTAAAAGTCTCTAATTATTCACACAAACATATCCCTGTGTGGCCCTGGAGAGGCCGTGGGCTGTAAAGTAAAGGCTTTTTACTGTGGGGGGGAGGGGTCCACTTGTGTATAACTGGCTCTGTTTTGTGGGTGACAGGGAAGCAAGAGCTCCGTCTGTGCTCTGGCCTTAACATGATGCTGGATACGGAGTCAGGGAAAAGGGAACTTTCTCCAACGACTCTAACTTAAACTCAATCACTTTTCTCTGAGTGTTGCTTCAGCCTCCCCTCCCTCTCTCAGGCTTCAGTCCCACTATCCCTAAAGTTGTTTCTTCTTCCCTCTGACCTCTCCATTTCTGCCTCTCCACCCTTCTATCTCTGTCTTTGTTCTGCCAAATGCTGTCAGTGTCTCGACTCTCATTCTTTAGTTTCCCTGAGCTCAGCTGTTGGCTGTCACTCCGCCACACTGTCTCACTCCATCTTCTTTTTGCCTCTCTTCTCGTTCCTCGTTCTGCAGCGAGCGATAAAATCATACTCACATTATTTGTTGGTGTATTGACAATGATACTGCCTGTCTGTGTTTTTCTTGTTTTGTGCTTTTTACACGATGGGTATAATATAGGAATGTAGAGATTGTGTCATTTCAGATGACAGCTAACTTTCTTTTATAGCTAACATTTATATTCAGTAACTGGCTAAAGAAGAGACAGAATGACTGCTGCTCTTTCTTACTTTGCTGTTTTACTTCCATTTATGTAGCTGTTATTGTTTAATCCAAAATCACACTTTAAGCAATCAAGTAAACAGCCATGGGCACTCTCAGGAAGGATTGTTTCTTCTACTTGAACTAACTAAATATTAAATTACCTCTGTCCATCACAATCATTCTTCTGCATCTGTATTTTATCAGAAGTAAATCCAAAGTGGCTATGTGCTGGGCTACTTGTTGGGACTTATAGACTTCATATATTTAGTAGTAGGTATGGCTTCTGCTTAAATTGCTAAATACACTATCTATCCATCCATCCACTTCCGCTTATCCTTTTTCAGGGTCGCGGGGGTGCTGGAGCCTATCCCAGCTGTCTTAGGGCGAGAGGCGGGGTACACCCTGGACAGGTCGTCAGTCTGTGGCAGAGCTAACACATAGACAGAGACAACCATTCGTGCTCACATTCACTCCTGCACTCACAACTATGGGCAATTTAGAGTTCCCAATTAACCTATCCTCACTAACTGCATGTCTTTGGACTGTGGGAGGAAGCCGGAGTACCCGGGGAGAACCCACGCAAACACAGGGAGAACATGCAAACTCCACACAGGAAGACACTGGCCTGATGGTGGAATTGAACTCAGGACCTTCTTGCTGTTTACACTAGAAAATATATTCATATTCTTAGAAAAAACGATTATTAGCGACTTGTGTTTATACGCTGCTCTCAAGACAAAGCTGCGTTTGGTTCATTTTAAGATACATTTCTCTACTTTTATCCTATTACGCGTGACTGTAAGTTCAACGGAAAGCAACATGTAAATATGAACAACCTACAAATCTGCTCTCCTCTACTATCATGTTATACCAATGAACTGATACATATTTCAACTGTCTACATTATATGAAAAATATGGCAAAACATATAGCATATAAACAGCAGTAATACACTGAAAGCATACGTCCGTAATTCTTAAAGTTTTAACAGTCAGTTGTGTTTAAACGCAACCTGTGCCCAGTCATCCTCTTAAATGTAAATGTAGGTATAATCTTGTCCATTAGTTTCTCTTGTTTGAATTCATTTCTTCTTCCCTGTTCATCCACACCCTGCTTAATCTCAAACTATTCCAGATATTGTGCAAACACCTGGCCCACCATATGTGACAAAAACCCCCAAAAACAAAACAACATTACCTCTTTTGCAATGATCTGCAATTATATTCAACTCTTTTTCTCCTCATCAAGTTCCAACTATGAACAAACAAAATCTACTTTAATTGACCATAATGAATAGATCATTCAGATATAGAAGTGTGGCACAGAGCGACTTCAACTTACTTACAAAAGTATCTGCTGATGATAAAGAGCGCTTTGCAAAAACACTTATGTTAGAGAACTGCATTAAGCTGGAAAGCGTTACAAAGTAATCAGAGAGTTAAGATATTTAATCACTTCACACTGATGATTGTCTAGAAATTGTGGACAATTAAAAGGAGACAATTTTGTTCTGTTATTACTCTCCTTAAGTGGGCACCCAGCTAGGATGGTACCAAAGGCACAATGTAGAATGCTCAATGAGGTGAAGAAAAATCCCAGAGTAACAGCTAAAGGCTCAGAGAAATCACTACAGATGGTAACGTTATGCTCATGAGAATAGAGATGTGGAGAAAGAGTTGGTGTGCTGGTGCCTTTGGGCCTAGACAGCTTGCCGTCATCGGGTTTATCAAAGGGTCTTACAGTGGGGCAGCTAAAACTAAGTAGGAGATGGAGCAAGCAAATGACCCTTTTAAACATTAAAGTAAATGTATTACAGAGTGGTTCAAACAAATAATAATAACTATAATCTAGAGTGGCCCAGCCCTAAAAATGATTCCAAACATCCATATATGACCTGCATTTGTTGGAAATGCTTCTCCAAAGTAATTTATGGCATCTGTCAAACATGAGGAGCAAACTAAAAGAACAAGAAAAAGTACAAGAAAAGCTACCCGATTAAGAAGGGCATTTAATCTAAAGCATCAAATACTGTATAGTACACTACTCTTATCACACCACACATTTCCCCCAGAAAGCTACATACATTCTGCGAGCGTGTCTTTCACCATATCTCCTCTCTCTCATCCATCTGGCTGAACCATCAACCCAGCAAACAAATAAAACTTTCTCTTTTTTCCATCTCTCTTCTCCGCGAGGCTCTCCCTTTCTCAAAATCTGGTGCAGCCTTCTGCGCTTCCCACTGGCAGCAAAGCACTGACAAATGGCTGCTCAGTGTACCCACTGACGAGCTTTCACACCAACTGACACTATTAATCCCTATTGGGTAAGAAAAGTGAGACATGATGTTCCTATCAAGGGCAGATTGGGGTATATACAAAGCCACTTTGCTTGCAGGACAGAAGGCATTAAAACTCAGTGTTGATACATCACAACACTGTACTATATGTAAGTGTTGAATAAATAGGGAATAATTGAACATGCACTATAATTCTATGAACATTTAGTCTCTCCCTCTCCTGTCTCACCTTCCTCTTTCCATTAGTAAATTAGGAAAGAAAAGAAAGTGGGATAAGAACGAAGGTACAGTGAGGGGAAGAAGCACTATATGGACACAGATAATGAGAACTCATTTCACACAGGGAGAGCAACAAAAAAATGGAAGACACGGTTTATATCATCTAGATCCCAGCCACATCAACTACTGTAATGAGGGTTTGTATAATCTGCCATCTGTCCTACAATTACATATCTTCAGTAATGCCAAAGATGTAACATGAGGGGGATGGATAGGCTGCAGTAGATATGTCAAACTGAGGAACATGAGACAGGGTACGACGAACGAGCGGCATTTTTTCTTATCTCAAACCCTTACATTTAAATGGCAGATAAGAGAAATCACAGTCATTCACCAGTTGGCATTTTGAATAGACCGAGGAAAAAACAGACAAAATCAATAGTGAGAGGGAGACAAATATCAGACGTCTTCTCCTGCATCTTCACCTCATATTACTGAGGTATGAGGAGAGGATCGAAGAGCAGACAAAGATCTGATTTGTCCTGCAGTCTTGTCACTCCATGTGTTTCTGTGCGAAGAGACAGCTGTGATGACTGCTTCCATATGAATCATGTGTCTGTGTTGTGCCACAATATCTTCCTCACTTCCCTCGAGTGGTAAATAATAGGCTGTCAAAATCTGTTTCACCAAAAGTACAGACATAAAGATACTTTCAGCTCCACCAAGAGCCAAAAGGCCAGACGCTTTAGTCAGTCAGTCAACTTGGAGACTGTCATCCTCCACCTGTCCTCCTCAGCGCACTAGAATTGAAACCAGGCTTAATGCTTTAATACGACGAAGTTAAATCTCTGCTCCCTGTGGCTTTTAAAATATCAGTGACATGTAAAAAAACATGAAAGTTCCTCTGATATCAACTTCTACAATGGCTTAGCAAACTATTAATCCTTCTTACCATCACTTTCTTTCTGCGTGTGACTAAATAAAATTGTTTAAGAAGCTCAAATTCTCCCTAGATACATGTCAGCTTTGCTGCAAATGACTGTTTATCCATTCTTGTCTTGCTAGTGCTTGACTGCTAAAAAGTGGGGCAATTTACTTTCTTATCTATGTCCCATGTCAGTGCATTTAAAGTGCCAATGTCACCTTTGAATGAGCAAGCACGCTCGGCCAAAGATCCTCATCAAGTCAGCAGCGTTTACCTGTTGCAAGCCACACAGTTGTAAATGTATTAAAAGTGATGAAAGTGCCTTTTTTTCTGTCTAAGTTGTTGTTGTTTTTTCATTTTGCAACTGAATTTATGTGCATGTGGTTTAGGACTGCTTCTGAATGTCCATGTGACCTCTGCCAGTCTGTGACGGCAGGCATATGGCACCACTCTACCTCTGCCAGTATGAGTCTACGCCTTTGACAGTGCCAGCTCAGTGGCCCCACAGACCTCTACCATTTTGGCTGTGCACCAAGAAAACAAGTTAATGTTGGTAATTAGGACAGAAAGCTAGTGAAGAGAGCGGAGGAAGAGCTGCCGCGCTGCATGGTTTCTGACAAACTTGGCTTAGGCCTGACATAGCAGAGATAAGAAAGGATTTTTGAGTGTTGAACTTCCAAGAAATTCTTGAAATATTTGATAGAATTATGCAGGATTTCCAGAAAACTCACTGATACTAAATGACAGGGTGCTTTAAGAGTAGGCTGGAAATCAGTCAAAGAAATGCCATGTCGACGTTTAAAAGGGAGCTTTGACGCTAGTCATGCCTAATGTAAGATGTTGTGGGTGTGGATGTTGCAAAATTTATTTTCCTTCTGCGGCTGCTTTGCTTTTTCATTCCACACCATGAATAAGAAAATATGTTTGGTCAATGAAATCACTTACATGTTTGTGAATGCAAAAACATATCCTGTGATCTGCAAAATGATAAAACACAAGGCACAGGAGGAAAAAACAGAACATAATAAAGCTTCTTGCTATGATCAACCTTTGAAATCTATTTAGATTTGTGCAATTAGTCTACATGGTCCAGTATCAGACTGCCTACTTGGCTGTGGTCCTAGCTTGGCTGTTTCATATCAATGTGACTCCTCATTTTCTAAGTAGCACCGTTTTAAATTATGCCAAAACCATCACCACATTTAGATGCAGCCCCTCGCTATTCAGACAACAGATGTTTGCAGGGCATAGTAAATCAGAAAAGCAGACATCATCCACATATGACTGCTTTAAAAGCCAAATGAGAGTGTTTGGCTGTTTTGTTGCTGAGAGAAGTCATGACGGCAAAGATAAGCTAACCTGAGACCAGCTCAGGAGAGTCTGCTGAAATAATGCAGTTACTATAACAATATTAGGCCCATACTGCACTCAGCACTGCTTTAATCTTGCCTTGGACAAAAGATTACATGCATAAAGCTTTATGGAAGCAGCGAGAAGTCAGAGTAAAAGGCAGAGAACCTACGTGAACTGTCCACTGTGTGCTGGAAGATCATGCTGGTTTGAAGCAAAGACTTTGTAGTTAAACTTTACCCCACTTGGAAAATTACTAATTCAACACATGTCCCAGGCTACAGACACACATACATACATGCACAAAGCTATAATTAAACCCTGCTGAACAGATTACACTTCCACAGCTGCTTTCTCTATCAATAATCCACTGCTTAATACGCCTGTCTGCTGCTCCTGTTGTTACAGCAGGTGTGTCAACTACACACAAAAGACAGCAAAATCACATCACTTCAGCCATGCATGGCTTGAAATGTAATCATTATTTTGGATCAAATATTTTCATCCTGACACAATAATTTATCCTAATAATGATAAATTGCAGTTTGATGTTTCAATAATGCCACCAGAAATTGGCTGGATCTCTGTTTGACCTCAAATACCAACTGCAGTTGAAAGGACAACTGATAGAAAATGAGGAAGATATTCACACTAAGTGGCCTTGCCAAATTGAGTGGATTAATTACACAAACAGCAAAACAACCGAGGAATCACAATAGCTCTGTCTGCGAGATGCAAGAAAGGCTTTAAATTGAAGATGAATAAGTGACATGTGCAAAAGGAGAAATCACATCAAATAAAAAGGAGGGCAAATTATTTGTACTACCTCTGGTTTCCAGGGTAATTTCTTGGTGTGCTGGCTGAGGAACTTCCGAATACGGGCGTGATCTCTGCCGTCAGCCCCTGCTGTCATTGGCTCGTCATCCTTGAAAAACATACAAAAGAAAAAACAGCACTTTTAAAAATCAGTTACCATAAACCAACACCGATAAAAGGAGTCGACTAATGGCGGTCATGGATCTCAGTGGTTAGACTAAGGCCTTACATTCATGAAAGCACAAATCCATTCACCCATTCATCCATCCATCGATTACTGAGGTAATCTGACTCTCCAGAGGCTGCATATAACTGATATAGGAAATGAAAACACATACTGTACATCGTGAAATAACAGGAAACAGCTTTATTTCCCTACTGTTAAAACCTTGTGTAAATGCCTCCGTACTATTCACGCCTAATCCAGCATTTTGAATTGCCAAAGCCCTAATGTCCAACATACTCCAGTTATTCACCCTGCGGCCAAGATTTTTCCTCCAGGGGACTAAGCCTCGTGCTCCAGCCAGACCACTGCAGGGCTCTTTCTCTGTGGTCTGCTAAGAGGCATGTACATGCTAATGCTGCGCTGTGACGGGTGGGACAGAGCAGAGAGGAGAGCAAGTTCTCAGCCAGCTATGAGGAGATAAAAGGCTGTGTGCCTCCCAGAGGAGGAACAAAGTCGCAGAGCTGTTAAATGAGTGGCAAAGCATCCTCCATTTAGCAGAAATGTCAAAAGAGGCACACCTCCACTGAGAAAAGCTGGAGAGGTTTTCAGCACCCCTGAAATGAGGGGCTTTTGTGGAGAAGGCGCTAGTGTTTGCAAAAGATTCAGGGAAGGAGAAAAAAAAAAGATTTTTTTTTTCTTAGAGTGGAGGAAGCAAAGAGCCAGAGCTGTCAGATGCCAAGCCTTTGATTACTTTTTTAACTTCCAAGGGAGAGAGATGAAGGAGGGCAGGGAAACTAATGATGAAGAAATGTGACAACAGGCTCCCCTCCTGTCTGTCACCAGAGGAGCGTAAAGTACCTGCTGTTTGTGGGTACCAAAAGACACACACACACACACACACAC